CCGTTAATTTTTCAATAAGAAGATGACGGTGGCAAAATGTTTGGGCTAATTTTTTGTGTTTTATTTCAGCCAGAACTACAAAAAGAGTGGAAAATTGTGTAAATCGGAAAGTGTATAAAGTAATCCAGAGTTTCTAATTTTAGTCTCAGAAGGCAGCAAATTTGAGGAAAACTACCTGATTTAATAACGCTTCCAACGCACTCGTCATTTTCTTATTTAGTGGTTGTGAGACCAAGATGTTGATGACAAAAAGAGAAAAAATGGTGGTTCAAGGATTGCTAATGTTTGAGAGTGACTTGCTACTCGTGCTACAAACTTCACCAGTAGATTCTTGACCCTAAAATGAACAAAAAAGTTCATATTGACCATGGTCCGATTCTCAACCATTTCAGAGTAATTTCGCTTTTTATCGATTTTGAAAGATATCACGTCCTGGCGTCGGAAAATCGTGATATCTTTTAATCTAAACATTTCTCTTAAAATCTATAAGCACCGTTGAAATCCCCGTTAATTTTTCAATAAGAAGATGAAGGTGGCAAAACGTTTGGGTCTTTCTTCCTTGACCTTCTAGCTGTTTGTAAACTTCTTAAGCATTACATACTAAATGGGCATTAAATTAAATTAAAAAATTTCAATGGAATTATGATTTTGATTCTCTCTAAAAATTAACGGGGATTTCAACGGTGCTTATAGATTTTCAGAGAAATGTTTAGATTAAAAGATATCACGATTTTCCGACGCCAGGACGTGATATCTTTCAAAATCGATAAAAAGCGAAATTACTCTGAAATGGTTGAGAATCGGACCATGGTCAATATGAACTTTTTTGTTCATTTTAGGGTCAAGAATCTACTGGTGAAGTTTGTAGCACGAGTAGCAAGTCACTCTCAAACATTAGCAATCCTTGAACCACCATTTTTTCTCTTTTTGTCATCAACATCTTGGTCTCACAACCACTAAATAAGAAAATGACGAGTGCGTTGGAAGCGTTATTAAATCAGGTAGTTTTCCTCAAATTTGCTGCCTTCTGAGACTAAAATTAGAAACTCTGGATTACTTTATACACTTTCCGATTTACACAATTTTCCACTCTTTTTGTAGTTCTGGCTGAAATAAAACACAAAAAATTAGCCCAAACATTTTGCCTCCGTCATCTTCTTATTGAAAAATTAACGGGAATTTCAACGGTGCTATTAGATTTTCAGAGAATGTTTAGATTAAAAGATATCACGATTTTCCGACGCCAGGACGTGATATCTTTCAAAATCGATAAAAAGCGAAATTACTCTGAAATGGTTGAGAATCGGACCATGGACAATATGAACTTTTTTGTTCATTTTAGGGTGAAGAATCTACTGGAGAAGTTTGTAGCACGAGTAGCAATTCACCCTGTATATATGTATAAAAGATGCAGTAAAAACTTGGAGAAGATGACGAAAAAAAAATTATATTGAAAAGAGTGAGGATAAACCATTCGAGATTAACAAATGGCCATATGTCAGTGGACGGATGAAACATTCGATACCCCTATGGGATGCTATGAATCTGTGACTGTATCATATCACCTATCAATGACTGTGTGACCTAGCATCGGAAAAAAGAAAAACTTTAATGTAAAATAGTGACAACCAAGAGAACTTGCTAATATAATTTCCATGGTAATTTTTATGGTCGTTCGAAGATTATCTTCCCTTTTAATTTTTTTGGATGAGTGTATATACTAGATAGAATTTCAGATGTATGAGTATAAACGAAAACAAGCCAAGATTTTTTATGTAATATCCTAGTACCTTGACGACGGGTATTAGGTGTGTATGGTTTGCTTGAGATAGTATCGGAATATCAAGAATCCCGGTGGCCACCCTATACGTTTAATTGTAAATAGCCTATTAATAAAAATAGGTATATATGTATGTATATAGTATAGAACACTCACTGCTCCTCTAATATGTATTGTCTGCCTCTTCAGGAGCACTATGTCGCCTCCATTGCTTGTTTCCTTCCATCGTTCTCGAGCGCTTCTGACGTCTGGATGAGACAATTTACTTAACTCCCCGACATATATGCGTATGAATTTATAAATTTTGCCTATAGTTCTTTTGTGTGAATGATGGTCGGCGGTCATCGGAATAAATAGATGATAATAATTAGTTTATTATTTCAATTAATTATACTTTTACCTATGGTCTTGGTTGAAGTCACGATAGCTCAACTGGTAACGTTGCCGTCGTCAAACATCAAGCAGATCAGAAAGCTTATCGAAACTGAATTACTTCCAGTTCGACTTCTTTAAAAGATTTATTTAGAAAAAATCACCTTGTTACATACCTTAAGTTACTGTAGTCATCAACTTGGCCATCCAGATCGACTCTAAAGTTATCGGAGAGTGATTGCAGAATTATCAAAACCTTTCTCCTACTTTTAGTCTTTGCTTTTTCCTAAACCACTCCATGGCTAATGTTCTTAAAATCTTTGCGGAAACCATATGATCAGTATGGCAAAGAGGTATTTTTTCTTCACTGATGTAAATGGAATTACTATATTAACCTTTTAGCATACTGTTGTCAATAAAGGACAAGTTAACCTCTCCAAAAGTAAAATTGTTGTTTTCCGAAATGGCAATGGCAAAGGGAGAAAAAGTTGAAGTTGTGAATCAATACAAGTAAGAATTCTGGACGTCTGCTAACTCTTCTTCTCTATTTTAACTCCCATTTACAGTGTAAGATGCATTGTGCGGATGATAATTGCGCATTAAAAACTAACAATAGCAATAGGATAACAAATGCTGGGCTACACTTATAGAGGACATGTCTCCTCGTTAGTTTTCACTGCTATGGATGGGTTTTCAGTACAAAGAGAGTTTGGAAAAAATTCAAAGGGAATTCTTCAAAACACAAATTTCATTTTGTCACCTTTATCTAAAGTACTACTACTCTTGAAAATATTTAAGTTGCCGGACCACGGTTTGCCAAAAATTACTGCCTGAAAGGTTATTAAAAAAAGACTAGTGGTTCGTGTTGTGAATTTCTTTGATACAAGGGTGTCATCATTCTACACCATTCTAACTTGTGAATTCCAATATGCTGGCCTGTATGACAAAATAAAATGATCAAAGCCCCAAAAACTCGACAGTACTTTTCTATGTCTGACCGCTTCGTTTTGCACAAAGCCCGCATAGGAAGTATTAACGATAAAAGATCTTTGATATAAATAAAGATCTAAATATTTCATGGTTTCTCTGGCTGTTTAAACTGAGAAGGAAACTTGTTTTTAACTGCAAACCATGGTTCCAAGAAAGATTCCACTGCTGAAAGATGCTGCCTTTATAATTATAAGGTTTCTGAGGATATCATTTTCAGGGTCAATGTCCTTTGCCTGCTGGAATTAGGTTAACTATTTAGGAATCGGAACCATTTCAAGGGGTGAAATTATTGCATACTTGAAAGGTCAGTCACACCCACAGCCTGTCATAAATTATGCACGCCACGCTTGCAGAATTCGATATGAGTGGTCAATTGATCGCGCTTTGTAAGTAATTTTTGCTTTGCCTTGTATATTTTTAGTTTTTTTTATTACTCCGTAAAATTCGGGTAAATTAACTCTCTCATTTTAAAAAGTTTAGTTAACTTATGTGATTATATTATTTTTTGTGTCAATTTTTATATTTTGGATACAATGAACTACTCGCATTTGCAATTTTATGTTTATAAATGTTAGTTTTGTTAATTAACCATGCGTTTTTCTCCTGTATGTGGTCGTTAGATGTAATAATGTTCTTATGTTCTTTAGATGTAATATTCTAGGAAGTTTGTTAAAAAAAGTATTTTTTCAAATATTAATATGTTATAATAATAATAAGCAAAAAAGGGTCTGCTATACCGCTGATAGGTCCTGAGCTCTTCTGTGTCATATGGATTCACACGATCACTGGCTATCTTAGACAAAAAAACAAATTGGAAATGAGGAAACAGTGGAATTCACTAATAGGAGATAAACAATACAAGGACCTTCAAGCAAATTTTGGAAGAAAAGAAACAACATAATGCATCAAAGGAAGCAAGAAAAAACTTCTAACACTGACAGCATTCTTGAAAAGACACGGCATCTGAAGAATATTGGTATAACCCAACACGGCACTTTTTATTCTGTAAAAAAGCAGAAGAGGCACTAACACATCTACTAACAAACTATGGCGCCACATTTGCTCGAAAGAGGAAGTGTTTTGGGATGTAAAACTTAACCGTGGAAGAAATTCAACCCCTGAAACCGAGCCTACTAATCAAATTTCTTGATGAGCTAAGACTCACCGGAGTGCTATAAACACAGAACGAGGGATACAATAGCTCTCAATGAGCGCAGTAAATTATGCAACCCGAACATTAACGTAATAATAATAATAATAAAGCGGGACTGTACCCCTACCATTCGTCCCCCCCTGGTTGTGTCGTCTCGGGAGCTTTAGGTTCTTCCTTTTAAGTTTGCTTGGAACCCAAAGTTTTTAATTTGTGTACTTCTTTATGATTGTTTAGTTTCGTTATAAATCAAATGCTGTTACCACTGGATTAAATAAAAATAAATAATTGTAAAAACATTCATAACCGCCATTAATCAAAATATATTTAACTTTGATCTTAAAACAAAACATCGCCTGAGAGTTAAAAAAAGTAGACACCCTCGTTTTTTAGTACATACTTGTAATCGTTATAATTTTTAAATATATACGTATTATATACATATATGTTATATATATATTTATAGATAAGATATAGCCAACGTTAGAAAGAATCTTTACACGCTTTACAGAAAAATCAACAGGAAAGAGATTGAACATTCAAAGATTTATTTACAAAATCCAATTTTCAACACAATTAGAAGATTTTATCTGTGTTTTAGTTACCATTAATCCTTCAAACGAACCAAATATTGTTGTAAGATAATCAATGGAGGATTGTCTAAACGATAATTAAAAATATTGCGGGTTGCCATTTTTTTGCCTCTCAGTATAGATAAACAAGGAGAGAAAAACAAAAAATATATTTTAATATCGATTATATTGTAAAAACTACGTAGTAACTTATAACTATGTTGATTGTTTATCGATAGGCATGGTTATTTTTAACTAGGTTGTCACTTCGTTCCCCACTTCTTAATTGTTTTAACCGTTTCATATTCCTCTTAGTTACTTCACTACTTTAAAAAAACTCATTTGTTTTTTCGTCAAATAATATATGCCTGAGCCCATGAAAAAATAGAAATACAATTAGTCCATTTAGTGTAGTCATGTTGCATGTGCACCATGGATCATGCAATGTATGGCACGGCAGAACAAAAGGAAGGTTTTTTTGTTTTTCTTCAGAAAGAGTTTCTCTTTTGGAGAACCGTTCACGTCTACCATGAGACTGGTTAATTATAAATTATCAGAGAATCGTAAATCTTCTTTCTCAATAAACGCCAAGGTCACTGGTCGGATTATGTTAATTAGAAATTTGGCTACTTTAACACTGTAGTTTATAATTTATGACTTATTCGGATGCGATTGCGAATGAACAACATTTTCTCTTTGAAATTGATTCATTGAGAATATACGTTCTAAGTTGATACCAAATAAGAAATAGGAATAGGGAAAAAATAGTTGAAACTGAAACAAACAAGTCTTCATCGGACATGGTGCCACGAACAATTCCTCCTGTATGTGTGGCGCGGATTCATCGACTGATTTATTGTCCTACGCTGATCTGGGATTTCTATTTATTTCAGCCTAGATCGATTAAAAAGATCCAGTAGAGAATTTAAACCGATTGCTAGCCAATGACCAGCCATTAAACGACAACAAGCGAAGCCACTATTTCCAGTTCAACCTCACGTTATAAACTCAATGTAGGTTTTATCCCATTTATAAATCAAGTTAGCTTAAAAAAAAGCATTGATACAATTTTAACAACTAATTAATTATTTAACCTAATTTTTTACCTATAGGAGTCTGCGGGGTGTTCTGTCGTTCCCGGTTTGTTTTCCTCTGTCAGATGATTTTCGGCATCTTGTATTCTTCATTGGTGGGTCTGACAATTCAGAGAATTCAAACCGATTGCTAGCATGTGACCAGCCATTAAACGGGAACAAGCGAAGCCTCTATTTCAAGTTCAATTACACGTTTTAAACTCCATGTAGGTTTTATCCCATTTACAAATCAAGTCAGAATAAAACACATAAAAAATTATTGATATAATTTTAACAACAATTAATTATTTAAACTATTTTTTTCCTATAGGAGTCTGCGGGGTGTTTCGTTGTTCGTTTTTTTTTCACTGTCAGATGATTTTCGGCATCATTCCTCATTGGTGGGTCTGACAATGCAGGCGTTGTGTTTTTGTTTTCTTTTCATAGAAAATCGTCATGTATTATACACACAACATAACCTACAAGTCATAAGGGTAACTATCCATTTCAGAAATTCTACCAGACGAAAGGCATACACGTGTGTTTAAATTGATTCGTAGCAATTATGGGAGCCGAACAAATAAAGGACAGCCCGATTCCCTCAACGGATCATAATTGAGGTGCAAATTTTTGAACAAGCGTTGTATTATGAAGGAAGTGTCACCAAGTCCAACTTCCCGGACTTAAGGTGTAAATTTATTCTATTATTAGGCAAAGTCCGGAAAAGAGGTTCTCATTTCCATGACAGAAGACCAACTCAAAGACTAGGTTTAAAATTCTGTTAGTAAGTTATTAATAGCGGCCGCTACCTAGAATTTAAAAGGGAAGAAAAGTAAAACACTCTGATTTACGTGATTTGCTTCCTGGGTGAAGAGAATTTGAATAAAACTCTTGAATTCATCAAACTATGTTTTAACCAAACAATTACTCTCTCTTGTTTCTGAACATTCATATCCTTCCTCGCCGTTATCCGTGGTAAAAGGTAGGTGAAAATGATCTGAGATACGTCATCACGCGGATGGACGGGGACTTCAAAGCAACATGTTCTTTCCTTTTGTTGAAAAGTATAAATGAAAGCATTGGTCGGACCGAAAGCACAACCAAAACAGGAGATGGGAAACTTTATGTTGGAATAAATCACGCTGCAATTAGTGACCGAATAAAGAAACTTACAACGCTAGATGGCCATGAAGTCGATTTTGCTCTCCACCGAGGTTGCATACTTCTAGGTAGGTGGTGATCTGCCACGACCTCGTGGACTGCAGCGTCGAATAGACTAAAAACCGCCTAGAAAATGGATATTGGAGGAGAGAAGATTGTGTGCGCGGCGTGACGGACAAACATACCCTCGGCGAGCCTCGTCCTCACTTTCGACACTCTATTATGCCCTCAAGAGGGTAAAGGCCGCATTCTATAGGCTACGAGTTCGCCCATACATTCCAGAACTGATGCGCTGTTACAAGTGGCAGAGGTCTGGTCACATCTCTGTGCGGTGCACTTCTCCGAAAGAGGTTGTAAATGTGCCAGAGAAGCAGTCGCAACTGATACATAATGTGAGGATCCGCCTTCTTGCATAAATTGGATGCCACACGGCCCGGTATGCCAGCTGTCCTCTCCTAGTAAAACAAAAAGAAATAAGCTGAAGGGTATAGTCCGGCTGAGTTTTTAATAGGTAAGGGCAACACCTTGTCACCTCTGCAAATCCCTGCCAAAGGAGTCTTTCACGATCATCAACCAGCCTATCTCTTTCTGTTCCATTGTTAAACACCTTGATGTTACCTTCGACCAAACTTTTCCTGGAAACCACACATTTTCCAAATTTCCCTACGCTGTGTTGGATGCAATTTCGCCGGTCCTGGCTCCTTCTGCCTTTCACCACTCGTAAGGTTCTTGTCTCTTCCTTAATCTTTCCCCTCTTCACTACAGCTGTGTCGCTTATGGTGGACTTACGAAGGAATAAGAAAAGTCTCTGCAAATCTCATGAATTGTGTCAGAATTATTTTCGGCACCCCTCGAATGTCTAGAACCTCACACCTGTAATCAAAACTACTGATGATACGATGATATCATATTACATTCCACACATCAAATATTTTTCACGTAGTCTAATTTCCCAACAATTTAGGTTTCCTTTTCCTATTTATCCCTTTTTATATAATCCTGAAAGGATAATCTGACTGAACCATTACCAACACATTTTTTCCCTTCGTCGGCTCTTTTCACCTCAAAGAAGCCGACGCCTTATACAAAAATGTCTTTTCTATACCGACATCCTTCCCCACCCCTTCAAAATCCAACGTATATAAACACAAAACAGCAAAATCTCACTGGCACTCTCAACACGACACGCAAGAATGGCACAATTACACAGAAGACAAACACTTTGAGTGAGTAGAAATACTTTGATTGAATATAAAAAATATATTTTGCATTGTATAAATTCACTTTTCCACATCCAAAATGTAATTGTTATATGTAAACAATGTTTGTAAATCCCAGGCCCTGAAGATGATCTCAATAAAGATCGAAACGTTGGCACGATAAAGAAAATGTTTTTCTGAAACCTACATCACACCAGACCGCATCTCATGATTTCTAAATAAATATCGATTAACGGTCACTAATCACCACATATATTTTTTATATTCAATCAAAGTATTTGTACTCACTCAAAGTGTTTGTTTTTTGCATAAGTGTTGAGAGTGCCAGTGAGATATTGCTGTTTTATGTTTATATACGTTGGATTTTGAAGGGGTGGGGAAGGAAGTCGGTATAGAAAGACATGTTTGTATAAGGAGTCGGGGTCTTTGAGGTGAAAAGAGCCGACGAAGTGAAAAAACGTTGGTAATAGTTCGGCCAGATTATCCTTTCAGGATTGTATAGACGGGGATAAATAGGAAAAGGAAAGCTAAATTGTTGAAAAATTAGATTAGTATAATTAATTACGTACGTTTTTTTTTCTGAATGAAGAAAGATGGTCTCATATTTTTCCAACCAATAACTCGAAAGAAATATATTAACTTGCACTACAGTGTGTATAGTGTGGGTGTATACTTATAGAAAATGTTACTAAATAAATCCAATCAGACCAATCAAATTGATCAGGTTTTATAAACCGTGTAAATTATTTTAAATAATAGTGGTGAGAAGGTTCAAAAGATTCATTAGATTGAGGTCGAAAAACTGTAGTAGAAATCGTATTTATTTTTAACATTCTATCATCTTTTGCATCTTTCAGAAATTTGTTATAAATTTTGATTTAGATCGGTTAATATAGTTATGAAATACCGAATTTACAAGTAAACTGTTTTAATAAGTCATCGGCTGTCGTAAGTCGTTTTTGATTAGTATTGGGGAAGCGACGTAAAATGTTGTTAAAGCACATTGTGTTCTTAAGGTGTACCCTTTTATTTTTTCACTACAGAACACTACACTATGCTAATAAAAAGTATTTCTAACGGTTTGGATGAATTTCAATTACGTAATAAGTAAATAGGTTTATTGGTAATTTTGGTTCGTCTACATGAAATCTTAGTTGCTTGACATTACATTGACCAATACTCTACGTTGTGTAATTTGTACTGAGATGAATGTAAGTTTTAGAAACGACCTACATGTAGGTAACCAGCGCGTCAGATAAGTCGAGCTGGCCATAGGTGCCAGATTATCAACCACCTAGATATCTAGGAACCAATTAGTCTGGGGGCAAATGGGAAAAAGAGCCATTCTATCATTGTAATTACACACTTCAGCCCTTAGACCAATTAGTCCAATTAGACAATTATTATATAGACCCTTGCATCAATTAGAAAAGGTTCTCACTCATACTGTAGCGTTCTATCCGTTACAGTGTCGGTGAATTTGACACCATTGTAACATTTTATAATAAAACTTCTTCTTTTTAAAAAGCATCTCCCGCAGGACGATTATTTAACTTTTATCGTCAAGTAAATTTATAAATGTGGAATGTCGGAAAGAAAGATAGATAGAGTCGGAATAAAATTTACTCAACAGTACTGCTTTGATTTTTAGTGTGACTTGTTAATTACTGCATGGAGAATTGCTATATTTGTTCATTCTCAAAAATAGTTTTTAGGCTCTAGGGGTTTCTTTGGGGTTGAAATTTGAAAAGTGTTTGTCATTATTAATAATAATAAAACCATGTTTAACTAATCTGAAACCATTTCAGACAAAGCAGATAACGAGTTTGAAACGCGTTGAAACTATTTAATAGCATCTTTAAGAGGAAACTTATCTAAGAAACGCAATTCTCTAGAAAATAATAAACAAACCATGATGTATTATCTCGGTACTAGCAACTTCTATTTCCTCAACTTTTCATTTAGTTATCATTTGATTATTTTGCGTCTTTTTTTAGAGTCCGGTCAGATAATGCGCTTACTCTGAATCTTTCTGCACGTTGGCTAGAAACTGGTAAACAAGATAAGAAGGGATCAGGGACTGAAGGGAAAGTTTTAATCCTACATTTAAAAAAAAAAAAATCAGCATTCATCTTACTAGTATTATAAATAATGTGTGGTGTTTATTGACCGTTAATTAATGATTATTTGGAGATCCTGAGATGCGGTCTGGTGTGGCGTAGGTTTAGAAAAACATTTTATTTATCGTGCCAACGTTTAGATCTTTATTGAGATCATCTTCAAGGCCTGGGAATTATAAACATTGTTTAAATTATACAAATACATGTAGGATGTGAAAAAATGAATTTATATAATGTTAGAAATTTTAGACTCAATCAAAATATTTGTACTCACTTAAAGTGTTTGTTTTCTGTGTAGATGTGTCATTATTGGGTGTCGTGTTGAGAGTGCCAGTGAGATATTGATGTTTTATTTTTTTGTACGTTGGATTTTGAAGGGGTGAGGAAGGAAGTCGAGATAGAAAGACATTTTTATACGAGGAGTCGGCTTTTTTGAGGTGAAAGGAGCCGACAATGGGAAAGAATGGGTAATGGTTCGGCCTGATTATCCTTTCAGGATTATACAGACGGGAATATTTAGTGAAAGGAAAGCCAAATTGTTGAAGAATTAGACTACGTAGAAATGTTTGATGTGTGGAGTATAATGATTGTTTTATATGTTATATTATATGTTTTGTGTGATGTGTTGATGATATATGTATGTTATTGATATTGAATTTGATTAATGATATTAGCGTAGCTGCAACTGATTTACATGTGTCTGTTCTGTAATTGATGTTGTGTTTATCTCTGTTGATGTAAACCATTTCTACAAAGTTACATTTATGTTTGTTTTGTTCTGTATGTAATATTGTTGGATTGTTGAAGTCGAAATTGTGCCAGTGCTGTAGGTTTTTGTTTGGGTTTTTTGCTGTCACAGATATGTTCTTTACCCTCTTATCCAGATATTGGGATGTAATTCTGATGTAAGTTGCTGGACAGTTTAAAAATTAATTGTTTAAACTGTCCGGCGTCTTTAACTAGCAAAACCTAGAAATCTTATAAGCGCGTAATTTGTTAAATACCTACTTCTTCGAGATTTTAAATTTTTCTTCAAATTAATTTTGAAATAATGAAAAAATCATCATTCCGGTCAATATTTGATTCATTAGTTTTTGGGTGATAGCTGAATACTTTATTTTTCGATACAAAAAAGCATTGTCCAATATTGGTAGTGATCTTACTTGTAGAAAAAGCCGCTTTATGAACGACGCCTTCGTTTAATTTTATTTTGTAGAAGGCGGATGCTAAATCTACAGTACTACAATTTCCCAGATTAACTACGATGTTTCTGATTAGAGGTAATGAAAATGACTTATGTGATTTCATTTAAATGACGAAAATATACGTATTCGCGGTTTGCATTATAGGGTTTAAAGCTAAATGGTTTAAAGCTACAGTTAAAGGGTTTTTAGTAAAATATTTTTTTTTTACATTCACTTGAATTACGTAATAGCGTTCAGAAAATATTATTTTCCATTTGTATAATCGAACTTAGACATGACGCTGACTTATCAATATTTTGCTGTTCACATAAATAATAATTGGAGTCACGCAGTTTCGCAAAGTCTGAAATTTTCATCGTAAAAGTGTTACTAAACGTGCTGGTAAATGTATAAAGCCGCCTTCCATCTTACAATTAAATTTATCAATACTAATATTAAAAATTATTCAGAAATCGTGAGATGCGGTCTGGTGTGATGTAGGTTTCAGAAAAACATTTTCTTTATCGTGCCAACGTTTCGATCTTTATTGAGATCATCTTCAGGGCTCAATGTGTTTGTTTTCCGTGTAATTGTGCCATTCTTGCGTGTCGTGTTGACTAATTTTAAATATTTTTTTAATAACTTTTTCCTAGGAATTAAAAAAAAAATCATGATACAGTAAACCATCTATAGAGATGGAAAAGTATGTGGTACTAAATGGAGTTTCTTTTCGTGCCGAAAATTCCTATTTTTCATCTATAAATTTTCCTTCTGTAATCATCATTGTTAGATACGAGCTTCCTCATAACACATTAAAATGTTTTATGAAAAATTACAAAATAAAATTTTCTTTATAAATTTTTATGAGATAGCAATATGCAATTGTTGTTAAAAATGTCCTATTTAAGGGACAAGAAACTACATATAAATCTGAATAGTGATGAAAGAAAAGAGAAAAAAGAAAGAAATTTGGAATCGTAAAGAAGTCGTTGAAACTCACAGGTGCGGTGAAGTTCATCCTGGATCTAATCTCTCGAACCCTGGTTCTTGCCTCGGTAGATGGTTATTGGTGTTCCTTCATTATTATTTACGTTATAGCGGCACTCTGTAGTTTTCCTCAGTGTAGTCACTCGTTTCAGCTACTAGGCAGAAAGACCCGATCCGGGACGTCTCATGCTAACGGTGTTGTCAAGTCCTAATTCTTCTCCTTTGGAAGACTCGATCTCCTGGATATAATAAAATTTCCTTTTGCCAGAAAATTTCATTCAAGTCTCGGCTATCCGACTTCTGACACCAAAATTTTCGTTGGTGTGATAACCAACCTCACGAGTGGGTGAACACCAATACTGGGGTAGAAGCAGAACTACACGGACAAAGAAAAATTAACTTCTCTCATAAAAAGTTAATAAGTACAGGAGTGGAGGGCTTACGGGAAACAGACCCGTCGCTTGTTACAATTTTTCCCTGGTGGGAGGTCTATGAGTGGATTTCGCATGGTGGGAGTATAAAATCCTTATCTTGGGAAGACGGAACAAGGGGAAAGGTTTTAAATTAAAATATTTTGAGATAATTGGAATGATGGATATTACAATTAACCTATTTAATTTAAAATTAACATTTCTTATAGCAGTAAAACAACTTATGACCATGATCAACACATATTACATGAACAGTATCATGGAAAATAAAATTCTAGTATACAGCTTTTTTCCGCTTAATGAACCCTTTAATTAACCTTTTTCTACTTGAAATGAACGCTTTCTAACTTCAAAGTAGTCCTGTTTAATTTCAAATTAACTTAAAATTATTAAAACTGTATTACAATACTCAATTAGTTTTTTATATTAAATCTATCATATGACATGGCGAAGTATATACTAAAATTAAGTTTGAGACCATTATTTAAAGACCAATCAATAAAATTATTGAAGTACATTTGAGTCTTCTGCATTAGAGAAAACACGATCATAAGCAGAGAGAAAAAATCAAAAATTAGGGAAAATTTAGCAACATAATTAACAAAAAGTAATAAGGCACCTAAATAAATGCCCTGTTTTACTCCATTTACGTTTGTAAGTTAATGTTGTTACTTTTTACTTGATGTCATCTAAGTAAATCAATGTGAAACCATGACCATATTGAAGCTTAAAACCTTCACTTTTGATAAATAACTTACCAAGTCTTGAAGTTGTTTGGTCAGTCGTGTTTTGAACGTGGACGAGTGCGGATCAAGAACGTCTTATCTATAGAGCCAAAGTCCAACCTCGTTGATTTCAAATCACTTTCACGGCGTTAAAATCACATGATATTTTAAAATTCATTATTTAATCTTATTTATTAATTGTTTTTTCTTCATCGTTATTACAATTATTTATTAATTGTTTATTGCATGTGGT